CCCGGCGGGGTTCGGACACGCTATGGCTCCTCCTCGTTATCACGGCCGCCCCGCCCAAGGTCTTTCTGCCCTCCCCAAAGCCACTCGTCATCAATCACATCGTGCTTCCCATCATCGCCCCCCTTGCCTCACCATCCTCTCCCTCGTCAGCCGCAGCACCCATGTTCTCATCCTCCTGCCCCCGATCCTCCCCGCCCTCCCCGTCCACCCCTCCTCCTCCTCCTCCTACTCCTCCTCCTCATATTCCCCCTATTGTTCCTACCTTTTCTCCCTCGTGCTCCCTTCATCCGCCCCTCATCCTCCACCCGATCCTCCGGATCCTCTTGGTCCTCCTCCTCCTACTCCTCTCTCCTGTTCCTCCTTCCTCCTGGCCCTCCGTTTCCTCGACCTGGCTCTCCTCCTCCCCCTCCTCCTCTTCTTCCTCCTCCACATCCTCCTCCCGGCTCTCCTCATCCACCTCCTCCTCCTCCTCCTCCTCCTCCATTCCTCTTCCTCCCCCTATTCCTCCCCCGCATTCTCCTCCACCTCCTCCTCCTCCTACCTTCAATCCCTGACCCTCCATGCTTCCGAAAACAATTTGAAGTAGGTTTGAAATAGGTTTGAAGTAGGTTTGAAGTAGGTTTGAAGTAGGTTTGAAGTAGGTTTGACGTAGGTTTGAAGTAGGTTTGAAGTAGGTTTGAAACCTACTTTGAGGCCTCCGAAACCTACTTTGAGGCTCCTAAAACCTACTTTGAGGCCTCCGAAACCTACTTTGCGCTACCGAAAACCTACTTTTGGAGTCCGGAAACCTTCTTTGGAACCTACTTTGCGAAAACAAATTCTGCAAACCTACTTTCCGACCTACTTTGGGGGCGCGGTTCCTTGAAACATCAGCGCACGCTTGCCCGAGCCTTTCCCAGAAGTCGCCCCCGGGGGTGGCGCGCCAAAAAAGGAATCTGCGAAGTACACCCAGAAGGTGAACAAACCCAAAGCACTTGTAGGTTGCCCCCGACAGGCGGGAGCCCCCCAAAGGGGGCGGTCTCCCCCCCCCCCCGAGGGTCGAGGATCGAGCGCGATTTCGCTGTCGGGCGACAAGCGAACGTACCGCGACAGGACAGGGCCTTTTGGCAGCCCCCCCGCTGGCGGGCAGGGGGCCGCCGCCTGGCGCCCTAGGTTCTTCAGAAACCAAACCTGATGCGGCCGCCCCCCGCCCCCCGGGGCCCCTCCGGGCCCGGCCCGACGGAGGCGCCACTCCCCTTCCGTTTCTCTTTCCTCCTCCCACCTCTCTCCACCTCCTCTCCTCGTCCTCATTATTCCAGCCTCCCTCCACCTCCTCCCCCCGGAAACGCCACCTCCCCCCTACCCGCCTTCTGGAGCCCCCCACCCTCCCGTTTCTGACCTTCTTAACCTTCCTGGTCCTCCCTCTCGCCCCCCCCCCTCTCCCTTGCTCGGGCCCGCGGCCCTCGCCCCGCCCTCCACGCCCCACTTCCCGCTGTGGTCAGACCAAGGGGGAAACGCAATGCCCCCAGATCTCAGGACGGAGGTGGTTTAGAGCGCTTCCTGTTCCAACAACCTCCAGTCTTCCCTTCGGGGATGGATGCACCCCCCCCTCCTTCCGGGGTCTGCAGTGGGGGGCGGCGGGTCGCTGGAGCGCCCGAGACGGTCAAAGATAGAGCCGGCATGACATCGCATAATGCAACGCGGTCTCACAGATGGTTCAAGATAGCCCAAGATGGATCAACATTGTTTCCCGCATGCTCCAAGAAACCCAAATACCGCTCCGAGACCGCCCCAAGTGGCCGCGGAGCCACCCAATAACACCCCCGAGAAGCAGAAATCTTTCCAAAGCGTACGAGACACGAATGAATTGGGCCTTTTGGCCCATGCGTTTCCGAAGACTTTGGAAGCCTGAAGATAAGCCCCGAAGGAATCCAGAAGAACCCAAGACAGCGCACTTCACGAATTACTCGGCTGGTTTGCTAGCAGAAGCCGCGCCTTGCCGGCGGCATTCCAGCATTTCCCCGAGAAGCTCGTTTGGAAAATATCATTACTGACCCGATCCCGACAAGTTACTTTTGATATTGTGTTCCCGACAACCTTCCCTGGAAAGCTACTTTTGCACATGAATGTCGCATTCCTTTCCCCTGAGAGCTTCTCGCGGCAATCGGTTTCGCCATCCTTTCCCTTCGAGTTACCTGCGCCGACCACTGTTGCCAGGCGCGCTGCAGACCTACTTCGCCGACCTACTGCAGGAGCTACTCTAAACCTACTTCATTTGTTTTGCGCCTCAAACAAGCCCTGCATTCAAAAAGAAGTCTCGGGTCCTGGCTATAACCGACACTCAGAGCAAAGAGGACCCCGACTCGCCGAAGCGAGCAGAGCGCCCGGGGACAGCCTCACCATCCGGGCGCGAGCCACGGAATATATCCCCACCCCCGGCGGTCCCCCCCCCCCGGGGCGCCCGAGTGTGCCACGCCCGCGACGGCGCGGCGACGCACTGGCCACCCAAAATGAAAGGAGCCCGAGGCGCCATAACGAAGAAACCGCTGGAAACGTTCCCACGATCTGAGAGCGAATCATGGCGTATCCCCGCCCCTGGCGGCTCCCCCCCTGAGGTGCCCAAGTGCCACGCCTGCGACATCGCGGCGAGCGCTGGACTGCCAACGCGGCAAGCGAGTCCGAATGTGGATGAGCCTGAGCGTGGATGAGCCTGCGCGCAAGGGAGTATGATAGATAGTGGGTCTGAGTGTGAGTGACTCTGAGTATGATTGAGCCTTGGTGCGAGTGGCTCTGAATACGATTGGGTCTCAGTCTCTCTTCTGCTTCGCGCTGCTACTTCACGTCCACGCGTTGTCACGAGTTACTTGTGTTAGTTTCTCGTCAGCGCTTATATTCCTCGCGAGTTGTTTCGTCCTCGTCAAATTTCCTCTTCGCGCCAGCCGCGCGCGGCTCCGCCTACTTCGCGCGCGAACGCCCCCCCGCAAACGACACTTGGGAGCAATGTGTCAAGCCACCACAAGCACCCGACACGGCATGCCGCAGAGGGCGAATGTTGCCAAACGTTATCGGCGGAACAGCGAAGGTGCTGCAATACGGCCCGCCGCCCACGGATCCGCCTGAATCTCGTTGCGCGACGTCTGGGCCCCGTCAGACCACCCGTATGTTAATGACGGTCAACTCGCTCACGCGTGCAACCCCCAGGACTACCTGCAGCGCCCAAATTTCGACTTGATCGCTGGCCTGGCGGGAACCCGAACATGCAATCCCACGCCCCACTTCCCACGGGTATGCGACCTATCGGCTGGGGGCCAAGGATGCCGCGTGCAAGAAACTTCTCGACAAGCGCAGTAGACGCGAATGGCCCTATCGAGCAATCCGCAGTGTTTTTTTGACAAACGGGCAACAGGCGCAGCGCGCAGCCGCAGGCACCTGGCAAGGCGCTGGTCAATCAGGGGCCTGCGCGAGCTGCGCGCGACGCTGCGCAGCGAGACATGCTAAATCTGCCGCGCCGCCCCAGCCTAAGCGCAACTCACCGAGCGCTTGCCCGCGCGCCGGCAGTCGCTCCTTCATGCACAACCCAGCACTGGCACAATCCGAATTGGGGCAAGACGTGGGCAAGGCAACGTGCGTCACAAGCGAGCGGACACGCTTGGAGCGAGCTTCCTGGCATGCCCCTCGGCAGCCCTGGCAGCCCCACTGGCGAAACTGGCCGGACCACCTCGCGAGCGGCAAGTCGGAGGCCGAAGTTGCGAGGATGTATCAGGCGAAACTGGCCGAACCACTGAGATGAGGGCATCTCGGTGCGTAGAGTTGCGAGGATGACTCAGGCGACGCTGGCCGCGCGCGCGCTGCATCTCCGAGCCCAGAAACATGAGGACGTCTCAGGCGAAACCTGTTGAATCAGCTTGTGCGCGGCATGTCGCAAACGAACCTGGCTAGACCACCTCAGGTCAGGTCATATCGGAGCCCAGATGGAGCCCAGAAATGCGAGGACGTCTCAGGCGACAATGGCCGCGCACGCTGCATCTCCGAACCCAGACCTGCGAGGGCATCCCAAGCGAAACCGGCCAGACCATCCCTCGCGCAGCAACTGACGAAGTCTCAGAAGGAACGGTCCGGACCTGCTCAGGTCAAAGCATCTTTGAGCCCAAAATTGCGAGGCTGTCTCAGGCGAAACTGGCTGGAAAATATCACGCGGCATCTCTGAGCCGAGAGTTGCGAGAATGTCTCTGGCGAAACTGGCTGGACCACCTCGCGTGCTGCATCTCCGAGCCCAAATGTCTCTGGATGAACTGGCTGGACAACCTCGCGCGCTGCACCTCCGAGCCCAGAGATGCGGGGACGCTGGCATCTCCGCGCCCAGAATTGCGAGAATGTGTCAAGCCAAACTGACCAGACCACCTCAGTTCAGCGCATCTCCGAACCCAGAGTTACGAGGACGTCTCTGGCGAAACAGGCCAGGCCACGCCCGATGTTGGCGGGTGTCTCTCAGCGCTGGCCCCTTGGTCAAAACTGGCTTCTACCGCAATAGGACCCCAGTCAGCACAGCTGCTTGGGGATGCGCGGTAAGGAAGGGCGTGCAAAAGGGAGAGGGAAGGGACACACGAGAGACGAGGAACGGGCAGGAGGGGAAGGGGGAAAGGGAGGCGACATTTCCAGCTGGGCTTCGCTGGTTGTACCATGCATTGGATCGTATGTATGATAATGATACGTGCACGTGCTGGCAAGACAACGCGGCAAGGACAACCCCTTGGACGACCCCAAGGATCCAGACCCCCCCCTGGACAACCCCCGTTGGACAAGCCTCCCCAGGTTTTTTTGTCCCCCCAAAGATAGAGTAAGCACTCCACGGAAACAAAGGACCCGATTTCCTCAGGGCCCCGTTTGTGGCCCCTAGAACGGGCCCGCAAGGCCGAACTCGAGGAACACCGCCGGGATTGAAAACGCTAGACTGTCCGAGACGCGGATCCCTAAAACGACCCGCTGCGCCCTGTGGCCCGTTTGCGCTGTCCCCGGGCCGCCGTTATTCACCAGCGCCTCCAGCAGCCCGTCGCGGCGCAGCTGCTGCACCGACTGCTCGCTGCCCGCCGCCACGGCGGTGGCCAGCTTCGCGGACGCGGACACAAGCGACGCCCAGTCCTCCCCGAGAGCGAACGCGGCACGCAGCGCCGTGGTCAGGGCCTCTAGGGGAATTACTACCCCGAACGAAAGACCCCGCATGAGAATTCTCTCAGTGCTCATGGGAGTCATCGTCATCGAAAACTGACGATGGCGATGATGCCAGGATGCCAGGATGCGACCGTGAGGCCTGTGGGGTTTGTGGGGCCCGTGGGGCGTTTGAGACTTGCAGGGCTTGTGCGACCTGTGCGACCTGTGAGACCCGTGCGACCTGCGGGGCCTGTGCGACCTGTGGGGCGCGCCAGACCTGTGGCACCCTGAGGGCTCTGTGGGACCTGTGGAACCAGTGGAGCCCCTGGAACTTGTGGGACCTGTGGGGCCTGTGGGACTTGTGGGGGCCGTGGGACGAGAGCGTCCTGAGGAGCTTGTTGGACAGATGAGAGCTATGGGACTTGCGAACCCTGTTGGACGAATGGGACCTGTGCGACCCGCGGGGCCTGCCGTGGGGAACCTGTTAAGCCTGTGGGACCTATGGGAACCGTGCTCCCGTTGCCCGCTCGAGACTTCCTCGCGATTCACTCCTTGTTAGTCCGCGGGCGCCAAGTGGTCAAAGACAGTCAGACGCCATTCAGCAAGCGGTGGGGTGCACTGGAGGCGAACTGCGGCACGGAAGCGAAAGGGAAACGAGCGCGAGAAGAGACTGGAAGAACGATTCGCTCACAGGCGAGGCTCCCGCTGGTGACTTCCTCACGATCTGCCCCCTTGGGGTGCTCAAGCACGGCGCCTGCTACAGGAGGCCGATGACCCGCTCGGATTCGAACATGGAGGCGGGACCCCATTAGGGAGAGCGAGACCTCCAGATTCAGGCCCGAGGAGCCCGAACGCGTCGACGCCTGCAGGGTCTGGATGACCCCGCAGCCGGATGCGAACCCGCAGGCGGAGACTCCACAGGGAGGCAGCTCCCACCCGAGACGTCCTCGCGACTCACTCGCAAGCGAGGCTCCCGCTGAAATTTTCCTTCGGGCTCAGGCCTGAGGCGCCCGACAGTGATCAAAGCTACAGGGTTCGGGTGACGCCGCTTGAATTCGAACGTGGAGGCGGGGGCCCCACAGGGAGAGGGCGAGGCTGCCTCGTGATTCGCTCACAAGCGAGGCTCCCGCTCGAGACCTCTTCCAGATTCAGGCCCGAAGAGCCCAGTAGTGTCAACAATCACAGGAATTGGATGACCCCGCGCGGATTCGAACATGGCAATGGGACCCGACAGAGAGGGGCTACTATTCGAGACATCCTCGCGGATCACTCGCGGACCAGGTTGACACTCGAGACTTCCTCAAGATGGATGTGTGAGTAAGCGTCTTAGCGTGTGAGTGTGCGCGGTGATGATGATGCTGATGCTGATGCTGCTGATGCTGCTGATGCTGCTGATGCTGATGCTGATGATGATGATGATGATGCTGATGGTGATGATGGTGACGATGATGATGATGATGGTGATGATGGTGATGATGAAAGGAATGATGATGTCGGTCATGAGGATGATTATGAAGATGATGATGCTGGTTGTGACGATGCTGATGCTGAGGATGATGATGAAGATGACGAAGATGATGGTGCTCCTGATAATGATGATGGTGATGATGATGCTTGCGCTGATGGTGTCGTTGGTGATGCTGATGGTGATGCTGATGACGATGGCGATGATGATGCTGATGATGATGCTGATGGTGATAGTGCTGATGGTGATGATGACGGAGATGATGCTGCTGATGATGATGATGATGATGATGATGATGACGATGATGATGATTGGTGCTGACGCTAATGCTGATGGTGCTGATGATGCTGCTGCCGATGATGCTCATTATGGTAACGCTGATGCTGATAACCATGATGATGATGGCTGTACGGATGATGGCGAGGATGATGACGATGACGATGACGATGACGATGACGATGCTGATGATGGTGATGATGATGGCGATGATGATGATGGCGATGCCGATGATGATGTTGATGCTGATGCTGATTGCGCTGAGGATGATGACGATGATGGTGATAATGATGATGATGATGATGATGATGATGATGATGATGATGATGATGATGAAGATGACGTTGCTGCTGCTGCTGATGATGACGATGATGATGATGTTGATCATGATCATGAGCATGATGATGATGATGATGATGATGATGATGATGATGATGATGATGATGATGATGATGATGATGATGATGATACTGATGATGGTGATGATGGTGATAATGATGATGTTGGTGATGCTGCTGCTGCTGCTGCTGCTGCTGATTGTTGCAGTGAGGCAGACTTTCACCGATAGGTTCAGCTTCAGGAGTTTCTGTCCGTGACCAATGTGGCTCAAGGGTAAAACACCTAGTCTGTCTCCGTCTGCCACAGTTGGTAGCGGAGCGTGGCCCGGGGCGAGGTGCCATGGGCGGAGGCGACCCTGCCACGAGGTAGGCGGCCTCCCGCTCGCGCGCCCTCGCCCGCGGCTGCGCTCGCACCGACGAGGTAGCGTGGGATCCACGGCCAGGTGATCATGCCCGCCGACGGCGAGGCCGGGACGGAGGCAACGGACTTTCACGTGGGCACTGGCAGCCAAGACGCTCCAGGTAGCAGTTCAGGCAGCCAGAACGCCACGGTGACCATCCGACGCGAGGAGCTCAGGGATTTGATCAAGAGTGTAGTGTCAGAGACTATGAGATCAGGAGCTCCAGACTCGGGAGGTCATCGAGGTGTCGTCCGCGAAGAACAGTCTCACGACGAGTGGCACGACACCGGCAAGGACCCCTGGCGAGAAGGCCGCGATCGAGGAGCTCCCAGTGGTGGACGCGAAGCTGGAGGCGATGGCATCCAGCGAGATCGTCGAGACGGAGACAAGGACGCCAGAGGAGAAGGCCGGTGGCGCGACCAAGGCAGTGGCTGGGACAGCCGCGACGGTGGCCAGGGCAAGTCCGGGCCCGCGGAGGCCTGGGGCTCAGGCGACTGGGACGGCGGCTGGGCCGACCGCCGGAGATCGGCGTGGGACGGCGGAGACGGCGGAAGCTGGGGGGGTCGAGGTGACTTCAGCGACCCACCCAACTGGCCCGGATGGGCCCACTACCGACAATGGAAGCGAGCGCTCAGGCGCTGGAACACGAACACAGATGTGAAGCTGTGGAGGCGTGCCGAGAAGTTTCTCAAGCTCTTCGAGTACAGCTTCCAGGCCAAGTTTGAGGACATCAGCGAGGATAAGCTGTGCTCGACGGAGTGGATCGACGTCATCCTGCAGCGCATGGACCTCGTGGCGGGCGAGCGGGAGGGCGACGACCTCCGGCGCGCCGGCAGGAAGGCCTTCTTCGAGGCTTCCAGAGAGGCCAAGGAGGGACTGACGCAGTTCGTCCACCGACGAGAGGCACAGCTTCAGGAGGCCGAAGGCATGGACCTCTGGATGAGCTCCAAGCTGAAGGGGCTGCTGTTAGAAGAAGGGGCTGGTCTATCAGCGCAGGGAGTACAGAACCTGCGCACCTTGACCCAGGGCAGGACCGACTTCGAGCACGTGGCCTGGGCGCTGAAGCAGATGGACGCTGGAGGAGCCGAGCGGCTCCTCCCCGGCCGCAGTGGCGCGGCGCTGATGGCAGAGAGTGAGGGCCTCGGCCCAGGCGCCAGTGAAGCCGCGAGCGGTGCTTTTCAGGCCTCTCTCCCCCCTCCCTCCGGTCGGTCAGAGGTAGGTGTCGACGGTGAGGAGGACGACGCCAACTACTACGACTACGACGAGGAGGTCGAGGGTGACTCAGGAGACGAGTCAGCTTGGGATGCCGAGGCGCTGCTCGCGGAGCTGGAGGACCTGAACCTGTGCGAGGACCAGCTGGAGGAGTTCTGGGTTATGATGGAGGGCAGGCGCCCGGCAGGCAGGACGTGGAAGCAGAACAAGGAGCTGAAGAGAGCGGCCCGGAAGGACCGCGAGTACTTTGGCGTGAAGCCGAAGGCAGGTGATCGGCACCCGCCACGACGCCCTCCGCCTCCTCCGGCGGGAGCACCCAGAGCTGGAGGCTCCAGCGGCCGACGTGATCGAGGGGCACCCGGCAGAGGCCGGGAAGGTCGAGGCATCCGCGGCAGACTGACGATCGAGCAGCAGATGAAGGTGACGAGATGCAAGCGGTGCCAGCAGAAAGGACATTGGGGACGAGAATGCCCGAAGTTCGGGGACCACGTCGGAGGCGGTCAGGCCGGCAGGAACCAGCGAGCCCGCGCCGGAGGAGAGCGACAGAAGATGTCGGCCTACATGTTCGAGGGCTTCTCCGGCGAGAGCTTTCCCATGTGGAGGGATGAGGCCGACCAGATCTCCTCCGGGGCGGTCTACATCGTGGCAGAGGCGGACCAGGCGCTGGTCGATCCCGGGGCCAGGAGTGACTTAGTAGGGGTGCAAGCGCTCAACCGGGAGGCCCAGGCGCTGGCTACTCACGGGCTGACGTACGTCGAGATCCCCAGGTCCCATCGTCCTCTCAAGGCGGCTCACGGGATCGGCGGCATGGGCAGAGTCATCAGCGTGGTGCTGTTCCCGCTGTGTCTGGGAGGCGTGTTCGGGATCATCGAGACCACCGTGTTGGCGGATAACGTACCACACATTCTTTCGGTGAATCTGCTCGATTTCCTCAAGTGTCTGATCGATCTGCCAGGCAACGAGATGACCTCCCAGACTCTGGACGAAGTGATTCCTTTGACTCGCCTCCCTTCTTGTCATCGCCTGGCGCAGATAGTTTGCAAGCTAGCCACGCCCGCCTGCGTTCCCGACTCGGCGCTCAGGCGCTATCCGTTTTTGAAGAATGACTCCTTTGAGATCGGGGGCAGAGCGCCCCCCGTGATGTCTGACGACGGGGTTGTGTCGCAGTACCTGCTCTCCCTCTCTCTCCTTGTTGTCGTCCTCAGCCTTGGTACCATAGGGTGGGGGACGTACGTGGGGAAGCTCGGGGACCTTCGGGAGAGCTCAGATAAGTTCCAGGGGAAGGTCTTGGGCGGCCTCGGGTGGCCACGAGCTCAGCTAGCGTCAGATCACAAGGCCGGG